ATTAATTGGGTCTAAATTAACTTTTGAATGCAAAGCTTTTCCAAAAAATGTCAATCGTTGTCTTGAATAAATTTTGTCTGAACTTTTTTTGCTACTAATCATACATGTAAGTGCTTGACAGTCCAGCAAGTGACACGAACTAATTATGAGAAGGCCCAGAGGTTATCCAACTCGTTCCAATAATCCCAAGTTTTCACACTCTATTTATACCATGTGGGACCGAAAAATTGATTCTGATGATTCATAATTGTTAAAACAATCTCATGAAGTGGGAAATTGTAACTAAGATACGAAATAAACAATTCTTACGAGCCATACATGTTCATAGATTTTTATAATCAGTGGTGCAGTATAAAAATCACAGAAAAACAGAAACAAAAACCTTTTCAGCACAAATACTGTTTCAAATATAATATTGATTAAATACAGAGTATACTGAAATCGGGATCAAAAAACAATTTTTGTTAATAAAAAATACATGCGAAAAATGTAGTGTGCAATATCTGAGCTACTTTTATTTAATCAACGCAAACAAAATGTTTTTATTTTCTATGCATTTTTTCGATTGAGACTTTCTTTAAAAAATCAATGAGATGCTGTAATGGTTCCTAAGAGCATGAAGATTGTAACATTGCATTATCTTTTATACGAGAACGCGAAAGATGAATTGCTTCCCGATAAAACAAAAAGCTGCATGATTCTGTTTGGCTAGAAAAATTATTGACCTCAATCAATTGAAAGATCTCCTCACTGAATTTTTGTTCCGACTTCCGAATAAAATATCGACTGCCTGAGCTCAAATATGAAAATACATTTTGCCTTTGATTCTTCTTAAGGTCCGAAGTATTGAAATGGCCAATTTTGCCATGCCCTGGACTGAATTAAGCGCGATTGTGAAAGTTTAATTTATGATTGCGAAAACTTACCGCAATTTATTTATGCGTGGCGAACAATCCCGCAATACAAATCTTTCCAATTTGATTGAAGGCAAAAATAATTGATCGTGTTGATTTCGTGCTGCTAACTTAACATTTTTGTTCCGACTTTCCTAACGAAAGTAACGGAATATTTGTGCTCGTGGTGTTTTTTTTGTTCAGAAAAACTTTGACTTTTTAACTAGCCGTTTTTGACGAACTTTTTCTTTATCATTCAAAAAATTTTGTCTTCCTGAGCTTACTTTAAAATTATAAATTACCTATGGAGGGTTTAAAGATTGCGATTTTGACCAAATTGGGACAATTAACGAGATATATATCGCGCTATTAACGCGTAACCAGAAATTTAGTCCGTCTTAGAAATCGCTCCAAATTGGTTGAAGGAAGCTTATTTGGCATATATGATTTGTTACCAGGAGCCAAATCTATCAATTTGTACTTTATATGGGGGGGGGTGATTTTCACAAAAAAAAATTCAATGAAAAAAAATCATTACAATCATATCACCTTATCTCATTCAATTTTGTGTTGCTGCTCTATAGAACTTAGAAGGCAGTCGGAAGTTTCAGGGCTTCGCTCTGATATGAGCAGTCTTGTTCAACTTTATGCTTGATTTCTTTTACAAAGTATGGGATTTTAAAGTTTTGTCTTTGCAATCAACTATTTAATAACAGTTAAGGGACAGTCGGTTTTAGCGATTTAGCGATCGAAGCAATTTAGCGATCGAAGCAATAATCTTTTTTTATAATCCTGAAAGCGTAACACGGTTTATTTATGCATGGCAAACTATCATTTGCTACAGAATTGTTCTATATTTAATTGAGGCAAGCTAATTAGTCGTATCAGTTTCGTGCTGTTCAATTTTTACCAGGAGCAAAGTCTATCAATCTGTACTTTATATGGGGGGGGGGGGGGTGATTTTCACAAAAAAAAATTCAATGAAAAAAAAATCATTACAATCATATCACCTTATCTCATTCAATTTTGTGTTGCTGCTCCATAGAACTTAGAAGGCAGTCGGAAGTTTCAGGGCTTCGCTCTGATATGAGCAGTCTTGTTCAACTTTATGCTTGATTTCTTTTACAAAGTATGGAATTTTAAAGTTTTGTCTTTGCAATCAACTATTTAATAACAATTAAGGGACAGTCGGATTTAGCGATTTAGCGATCGAAGCAATTTAGCGATCGAAGCAATAATTTTTTTTTATAATCCTGAAAGCGTAACACGGTTTATTTATGCATGGCAAACTATCATTTGCTACAGAATTGTTCTATATTTAATTGAGGCAAGCTAATTAGTCGTATCAGTTTCGTGCTGTTCAATTTTTCACACTTGATGCTTGGTTTTGTCCAAGATTTAAGGTATTTAAAATCTTTTTTTCCAACAACCAATCGATAATGATTAAGGAGCAGTCGGAACAGTCAAGACTTCGCTTTGATGTAAAGCAGTCTTATTTTGCTATTTTGGACTAAATGACTATTTCTGCTAGTGTTTTGAATATAAAACTACCCCTCTACTTAACCTCAATAAATTTTTTTGGCTGATCATTTTTTTTATTATCGAGACCGTAACGTTCACCGCTTCCAAAAATAGTTATCACTTTGTAAAGTAAAAAATAATTTTTTCGAAAAAAAGTCTGAAGTTGGTTTGCTTAACTATATATGGCAACGGTTACTGTGCTGTGCTTGACGATTGTTGATTCAGTCAAACCCAGTCTTGACTTCCATCAAAGCTCTGATCAAAGAAAAGCGTATTTAGTGTTTAAAGACAGTTCGGACGCAAAAATAACTGACCGCATCAACAAAAACAAGACTTGCAAATGTTTTTGTCAGATTGTTTTGAAAAATTCTGAAGTTGGTTTGCTTAACTATATATGGCAACGGTTACTGTGCTGTGCTTGACGATTGTTGATTCAGTCAAACCCAGTCTTGACTTCCATCAAAGCTCTCATCAAAGAAAAGCGTAGTTAGTGTTTAAAGACAGTTCGGACGCAAAAATAACTGACCGCATCAACAAAAACAAGACTTGCACCTGTTTTTGTCAGGTTGTTTTGGAACATCATCACCTTACCTACTGTATAATATAAAGAGTGATAATTTTCGCTCATAGCAAAATACTAACTATACTAAATAGCAGGCCTCAATTCAGTTTTGAACAGTTTTTAACATGGATCAAACATCCGCATGCGAGTTACTAGCACGAAGAATTTCGCGCGTTAATTGTCCCAAACTGGAAAACTTTAATTCTCCTAAATTTACAAAAACCAATCTCAGGATAATTATTTATTTAAATTTGAGCTCAGAACAACTTGAGCATCCGGTCAAAAAATGCTAGTTAAAAATTCTGACTTTGAGTGGAGAAAGAAATATTTCTTCGCTTTCTTGGAAAGTCGGAACAAAAGCAATACATTTGCTTTTGGTCGATTATAAACGAATTATTTACAGATTTTTTCCAGTGGAAAATTGATTTGATAATCTATTTGGAGACCAAATTGATGATATGGTGATTTCATTCATCTAAAAAATGTTTTTATAGAACAACGGAATTTTTGCTGACCAATCTTTTTACCATCTCCTTAAAAACCCCCAGAATATAGTCAAAGTAGTTCATATTGTCTGGAAAACGAATTTAAATGTCTAAAAAGGGGCAAGCAGGCTCAACTGATGGAAGAAAAATTAGAACTCACCCTGTTTGCCCTTTAATTTTGAACCAAACGAAATGAACCCTTTCAAAAGTATGAGTTTGGTTTGAAATAAATTGCACCATGGAAAAGCTGGTAAAATTCTAAACATTATTTGTCCTCGTAATTTTACGTTCAAAGTTAACCGACTTTGAGAAAATGTCATTACTACGAGGCCAAACTGTGCACTGGATAGGCTCACAATTTTGTGTTTGTATGTTCGTGGATTCCAGATACAAGTCTTTAAACATATTAAATATTTGTCGGAACGATAAAAGAAAATAAAAGAACAAAAGAAGAACAAAGAGAGCGTCCTTGTTGCGGAACCCGCTACAATTCTCAAAACCCACATTTTGGCCTCGTAATGGTGTTTGAGTTTTTATCAATTTTTGTCCGTTTTTCCTGTTATTTTATTTCAGTGCCATAGAAGCTTTTTCAGCTTAAACGCCGTGATATTTAAAAAAAACTGTGGAAACATGTGTGTTTAAGTAAAAATTCAACTTAATAAAGTTTATTATCAGAATTCAATAAATTTTTGCTACTTACTGCAAAAAGAGTCACTTCAGTATCCCGATTATTTGTGAAGTGAGACAGATTTATAAATAAAACATGTTTTGAAAACACCCTGTAAGTAAGACCAAAGTTCGAAAAATTTCTTAACCTCAGAGAATGACTCATCTCAAAACGTAGATAGTTATTTTTTTGGCAGTATTTATGGCACTATTTCACTATTTTAGTCATTCCTTAATACTTTTTAGGGGGGAGCGCGCCAAAATACATGACTTTTCTGAATATTTTTTAAAATGCAGGAGGTCCCTAGTTTGAGTTTGACTAAATTTTAGCTTTTTTTGACTAATTCAGTTTCTTTAATCTAGCAAGTAGCTCCCGTGATTTCATCTATGAAAAATCGACCCCAATCGAAAATAGAAACGTGTTTCCACAAAAAAGTTTTGTGCTTGTTAAGCCTAAGGTTTTTAGAGAAGTCTATCCTTATTTTAAATTGGTAGAACTTTTCGTACTGGTTTGTCTAAGACACCATTTTTTTTACATTTTCCATTCTAAAATTCAATTTACACCAATTGCTGCTAGCAACATATTTCACAATTTTCTGTGACTCAGTTCCATAAATTTGTTTTAAACGTTTTTTTAGTTATTCAAATATGACTGCAGGTTTAGTAGATCGATGACTCATTTTGAACAAATTTAGTTTGGCTTTTAATGTTTATTCAAAGTTTGCTTTTAAATGTTCGCTGAAACTTTTTTGCAGTTTTTCAACGCAAACTGTAACAGATGGCGAAATATCCCGCATTTGCTCATGTTTAAAATCCTGTTTCAAGCTAAAATAGATGGCTCTGGTATAACCACTGCATAATTCTTCCGTTATTCACCAGTTGCGATCTTTTTTCATACAATTTTGCTTCTCAAAACTGAAGCATTCGTTCAACTTAGACTAGTTTTTTGCTTGAAACTACTTTTCCATCATGGTAAGTTGAAATGCTTGATAGTTTTTTGGTCAAAACTAGGGGCAAATTTTAAGGACTCGGCACTGGATCTGAAAACAATCCATTTCTAGTAGCAGTTTCTTTTCCCTATCCAGGATGAGAGCTCTGCGAGCCATGGAGGTGGGGCAATAAAGGGACCGTCTTTAATATTACTTTGCTGATTAGAACTGCCCGCACCGAAGTTTCATGGATAATAATCGATTATAATGGATTTTCGTTGACTACAATGTTGTCAATATAATCGATTATCATGTCAAATTTAGACCACATAATGGATTTTTAATCGATTATAATCGATTATTTTTGTAATTTTATTGAGACTCCCTACAAAAATCCATTATAATCGATTATTATCCATGAAACTTCGGTGCGGGTGTTGCCTCGTTGCATTCTGCAACTAAAAATGAAAAATTTCAATCAACTCATCTTTTTGTCACAAAGAACATTTACATGATGTAATCAGTTGAAATTAGCGTTGAAACAGAGACTTTTCAATTTGAATCAGGCCTCTTTCTAAAATCATCTAGCGTGTCTCAAAAAGACCAATTGATGAAATCATCAGCGTTCTTAGAAAGTGGGTTTTAGCTCCCTCAATTCCTCGCAATAATTTTTCGAAAAGATTGCAATTTGGTTATACCTCTCGACATCATTTTTGGGCCAAGCAATCCTAACTTTTGCCTTTCATGATATTGAAAAAAGTAGCCTTTTTTTTGTAGTTTTGCAGTTTGTTTCCGATCGAATAAGCGATTTTGAGCGTGCTATTGCATAGAAATAATCTAGTAATTCGGAAAAGATTAGTATAAAAATTTTTGGTCATTCTGGTTTTGTGCTTCCCTGACCGCGTTCTCATTTCAGTAATAATTTTCTACACGTATGGTAAATATCTGTTCACGTGTTTTGTTTATTGCACAGAGAGAGGTCATTTCAGTGCACGTGGGCCAGGCGGGTTGCCAGATCGGGAATGCATGTTGGGAGCTGTACTGTCTGGAACATGGCATACACCCGGATGGACAGATGCCCAGCGACGCCACCGTCGGTAAGTGTGAATCAATCAGTAGCACAATTAGGGGGAAAGAGAATGAAAATTTTCATGGAAGTTATTATTGTTCTAAGGTGAATGGCCCAGAAAAATCTGCATAGCTAAAATTTTTCAACAATTCTTCTTATCGAATTAAGCAATTCTGGAAAATAGCATTTTTTTATTCGACGTTTTAGTTAGTCGTTTTTGATGGCGCATTTGATTAAAACCATATGGAAGGTTTTAATGTTTTGAGCTCAATTTTAAAATATGTTTTACCTGCGACCAGCTTTATAAACTTATGGTCGTTTAAAACTGCCAACTTGATGTAATTAATTCTTGCGAAAAAATTTCACTTTTTTTTACTAAGTTTCGTTTTGGTAGACGAAAAAAATATATTTTGTGCCATTTATTGGGGATCAAAAAACACTCAGTCATCCTTAAAGGTAGTCACTCAAGCAAGGTCTCCCCTTGATACGCGCAGTTTCGTTATACGGTTTTGGAAAATATTGAATCATTAAGCTCAAAATTATTTGTCGAAAAACAAAACATTTCACCTGTGATGGTTTATCGGAGCTTTTCTAATTTGGTCAGTTTGGGATAATTAATGCAAGCTATATACCAGCTTTTGATTAACAAATAACGTAGATGGCAAGTTAGGCCAACTCAGAAATCAATCCAAATTAAAATGAGGCAAAATAAATGCTTCCAATAACAGGCTACCAGATAAAAGAAAGCATCATGTTGTGCTTAAAACTGAGTTTGAAGCTACTCTTGCCAAACCAAATCAAATAAAAAAAAATTAGGTGAAAACCTATAACCATACATTTTATGTATACAACTTAGTTCGGCTTGGGAAAATACCAAAAAAGCATCAGCCTGTCGGCTGGTATCTCTATGAGCAAAATCTATTCTGTAAACTTAGAATTTAGAGACAGTACTCAAAAATAACAGCAAATTTTCCTCGAACATCAAAATCTAAAACAAAGAAATTGATAACTAACGCAAAAATCGTTTTTTAGGTGATGTCTAACAATCAAAAGAGGATGAACAAAAAACAATAACAAAGTCATGAAAATTTACCATAACATAATGAAAAAATATTCAATGTTACAATTATAGATGTTTCTTATTCTTATTTTGTGAAGAGTCATTGATAGTTGTTAACGCTTCAAGAAAAATATCTTTATCCAAAATTTATTATCAACTTATTATTACGATCCCTATATTCAATTTTCTCTTTTATTAAATGTACTATTTAATCTGCAAAGTTTTTTCTTCTATTTTCAGTTTTGATAGTATCTCTTATCTCTTGTTCACTTGTGTATTCATGAAATTTCCACAAGATCGTCTTATAATTTTAACTATGAGTTTAATTTGGCCATATACATGTAACTCTCAAACTAGAGTTTTTGTTTGTCTCGAAAGTGTTTCAGATTTCCAAATTTTCTATTTTAAAAATTTTTCTCAATCTAAAATTTTCCTATTTTTTTTGGATTTCCTTAAACGTTTTTGAAATTTAACTACAAATGTTGACCGAAATTTTTCACGAGGCGGAAATGCGCATGGCCTATCTGAATGTTTCAGTTTACAAAGTTGGCATGGGACTATTGGCGCGAGCTCCAAGTTTTGTTTTCCAGTTTCCCCGATAACTTACAGTCAAATACATAAAGTAGTACATGCAATTATTTTTTAACGTTTCATAAGCTTAGGATTTTTCCATATCAACCGAAGGAAATTGACCTTATTGAGACAAACCATGCTTTAATAAGCGAAAGTTATATCACAAGTTTTTATGTTCCTTAGTTTTTTTGAAAGGTGGGGTTTACACTTGAAAGTTTTGAGGAAAGTTTGAAGTGAGTCAAATGCGAGATTGTTATATACGCTTTCAGCCGTTACTTGGATTACAAAAAATTCGAAAAGGTTGGTTTTGGTGCCACGAAAAATGATATGAACTTTTCCAGTTTTCAGACCAAATGGCATTTCACTTTTTATGACGTTCAGTTGACTTCTACAGGATTTTAAACGTTTATAGCTATCATTTCCTCTCAATATGATTTTTATAATTCTATGATCAAGAAATTGAAAAAAAATAATCTTTTTATTTTATTTTTGTTTTGTTTTTGAACTTCAAGTTTAAATCAAGATGGTCGGAACATTGTATTTTTTGCACAGCAACTGGTTATATTCGTTAGATCAAAATCAAAATCAAAGTTCTTTAAAGTTAGCTAGCCTGAAAAAAATTTAGATAGCGGACTTTTTGTATGAAAATCAAAGGTTCGTTTAATCAAATATGATCGACGTCTTTAGCTGTAATAGACAAATATCGGTAAAATAGTTGGAAAATATGATAGTTTCTTCCAATAAGTTATAAATTGAACCGTCCGAAAACACATTTTATGGGCCGCAAAATAATGAAAAATCTGGATGCACTTTCCTTTACTCGTTTTAAATATTCTATTTTCTTGTGATAATGGGCTCATGTATAAAACATGCTTTTTACAGGGATTCAAATATTGAACTTTATGCTACCGAAAGTTCCCGCATACGCTAATCAATATTTTGCGTAGGTTTTGGAGACGACTCGTTTAACACGTTCTTCTCTGAGACTAGTTCGGGTAAGCATGTACCTCGGGCGGTGTTCGCCGACTTGGAGCCGAGTGTGGTGGACGAGACGAGAGGCGGCACATACAGACATCTGTTCCACCCGGAACAACTCATCACCGGCAAGGAGGACGCCGCAAACAACTATGCCAGGGGTTAGTTAGGTCAACACAAAACATCCAAACTTGCCTCTATCTCAAAACTGAATATTGGACACCAAATCAAAGCTCTTAGAAAAAATTAATCTCTGTATTGGCTGTTATAAAGTAGTATAGGAGCACTACTACCTCTGTAGAGGTCATTTATTTTGTAACAATTGTAAGAAAATTTATGAGCTAGCTTTCAAGGATTTGATTCATATCGTCACTCCAGTGTTTTTGCAGTTATAGTTTTTCATTTGTATTCACGAGAGCCTTCAGGAAGTTTTCTGCTGTAAACTTAACTTATGAAGTTTTGCAAGTCTGTCTTTCTATTTTCCAGGCCACTATACTGCTGGCAAGGAGATCATAGACATGGTGATGGACAAACTGAGGAAGCTGGCAGACCAGTGCACTGGACTCCAAGGATTCCTCATCTTCCACTCCTTTGGAGGAGGAACTGGGTCCGGGTTCGGCTCTCTGCTCATGGAACGCCTTTCAGTCGAGTACGGCAAGAAGTCTAAGCTCGAGTTCGCTGTCTACCCGGCGCCACGGATCTCGACTGCTGTCGTGGAACCCTATAACACTGTCTTGAGTACCCACACGACTCTGGAGCACTCAGATTGCTGTTTCATGGTCGACAATGAGGCCATATACGAGATATGTCATCGAAACTTGGACATCCCTAGACCCTCGTACACGAACTTGAACCGACTTGTTGGCCAGATTGTGAGTTCAATTACTGCATCATTGCGATTTGACGGAGCTTTGAACGTGGACTTGACCGAGTTCCAGACAAACTTGGTTCCCTACCCAAGGATCCACTTTCCACTTGCGACGTTCGCTCCTGTGATTTCAGCCGAGAAAGCTTTTCACGAGCAGCTGACAGTTGCCGAGATCACGAGCGCGTGCTTTGACCCGATGAACCAGATGGTTAAATGTGACCCGAGACACGGAAAGTATATGGCATGTTGCATGTTGTACCGAGGCGATGTTGTTCCTAAAGATGTGAACGCAGCCATTGCAGCTATTAAAAAGAAGACCCAGATCCAATTTGTAGACTGGTGTCCCACTGGGTTCAAAGTGGGCATCAACTACCAGCCGCCAACCATGGTTCCAGGAGGTGATCTGGCGAAAGTGAAACGGTACGTTTTTGTAACTTGACGCTCGCTGGCGATTGGCCGAGAAAGTTACAGATCTGCAAATTGTGTCAAATTGAGAGTGAGGAATCTGCAATAGTTTTGTCTTAAATTTTCAGGGAGGGAAGTTTTACAAAAATTTAGAAAAAACGAAGCTCGCTTTGAAAAACAAACAGGTTCCGAAAAATTATCCGAACACAGTTGTAAGCAGGAAAATTCATCTGGTCTTAGCATTCTGAACTTTTACACAGTTACTGATTATTTTTGTTTTCTTTATAATTTTTTAAACTTTTTTCTAATTTTTTGTCCCTATTTTCTTGTTCCAAAGTTTTTGGTAAATTGGAGTCTGGTAAATTGAGCTGAAAATGTGCTAAAAATAATGTTCTTTCTTCGCAGAAGACTATGATCTGTCTCTGGGTTGAAGGTTGTCTAAAGCAAAAAATATCAAGTACTCATTTTAAATAACTCTTTCTCTCCGAATATTTTCCCGTAAACTGTACTAGCCGACATAAAAGTGGTCTAAAGACACTGTTGCTGTTGTAGATCAGTGTGCATGTTGAGCAACACCACCGCCATCTCAGAGGCATGGGCCAGACTGGACCACAAGTTCGACCTCATGTATGCCAAGCGGGCATTCGTCCACTGGTTCGTGGGGGAGGGGATGGAGGAAGGCGAATTCGCCGAGGCCCGGGAGGACTTGGCTGCCCTGGAAAAGGACTACGAGGAAGTGGGGATAGACTCCGTGAATGACGACGACGATCAGGCACCTGGTCCAGACCAATCGGATGATTTCTAAGTCTAAAAATTACACAATTTCAATTCAGGGCGTAACTTGAAAGTACATCAGACCTGTTCATTGCTTTTCTAAAAATGATTAGCATATATAATGCGCAAAACGATGTGCACACATGATGCGCACTTCTTATCTGTTTTCCAATCAAAAAACCTCAAGCGAAGTATCCAAGTATTTATGTATTTTCATTGTGCAGCCTGCTAGATCATCATAAGTGCTTATCATTTATAGGATAACCATGAAATGGTTCCATCGACTATGAGCAACTTTTGTGTAACGACAAACATTACCGCCATGAAAAACAGTCGGAAGAAAAAACCACTTCGACTAGAAGAAAAATTAGCAACACAATTATTCTACTAGCAAAGATTTTTGAAAGCCGGTCATAATGATTGCTCGGAACAAAAAGATCCTTTCTACTTTTTCTCTTAAAAAAAACTAAAAATCACATAAAGATTTTGTTAGAAATAATTATTTATTTAGAACATCAACATATGGCCTGAAACTTTTTGTAATAATAAGGTTTAGCCAGTTTATTAATGGATCTTTATATATTCTACTTTAAATCAAATTCAGTGAGCTGAAACACCAATCGAAGTACTAGATCAGCGGTAAATACAACTGTCAAATGAGTTCAGCGAACTAAGTCATTGTACCGAGTACTAAATAACTTTTATCGAGGTTTTGATCAAATTAGAAAGAACCACAACTGGTCAATATAAAAGTTATTTTTTGCATTTCAACTAATTTGGTGAATTCTTGTTTTCCTAAACCCATAAGTTTTATCAACTGGTGAATAGGCGTCAACTTGTTCTGATTTCAAATAGAAACAGAAACATGAATTATTTTATTGAGCTCACAAAGTGTGACGCCGCCGCCACCACAAAATAATTATGTTTTTATTCCCTTGCAAAAGGAAGGGAAATGCTATTGGAATAATTCGTATAACGTTTTAAGCATTGAGAATTGAAACGACTATTCTCGATCAATGCGAATAATAACGATTCCTCTCGTAAAATACGAGCATACGAAACATTCTTCTCGTAAAATACGAAAGTACGAATAGAGAATACGAAGTTAAGAAGTAACTTCTCATTTGATACGAAAAGTGGTACGATTTCCCATCTGAGTATAAATAGAAGCTCAAAACTACGGGAATTCATTCCCAACAATATCTCTTCTAACACCAACACCACTCTCTTCGACCACCCCAACCATTCTCTAAAATAATATCCATTCTCAGTAAAAATATCTCTAATCTCACCTTTAAAATAGAGATTGAGTCAAAAGGCAACTTGCTGTAAATTCATACTAACTTCTTTTCTAATAAAATATTTCTCAGCGAATTTTAGATTTACTTTCTAAGATAGAAAGTAGAAAGGACCCTTTATTCCTAGCAAGCGTTTTGTCCGGCGCACATAGTGTTGCTAGCTCAGAATAAATTGGTGCGGCCAGTGAGGCTCACCTTCTAAAAATTCGCTAAAATTGCTAAAGTCTCAGAAAGAGATAAGAAGCAAAGAATCCAATTCTCAAACTGGAGACTTGTTGAAATTTCTCTTACAAATAAAGAGAAGTAATAAATTCCTAAATCGGAAATTTAAGTTTTTTAAACAAATTTATAAACTTTTCTATCTTTCTTTTTAAAGTTTTAAACTAAATATAAAATGGCCGATACCCCAATATCCCATCCCAACTTGTCTTTAATGACATTTTCGGTAAATTATCCGAACCAAAATGCTACAGCATTTTGAAATTCAGTTGAAAACAAAATTCTTTTCTCATTAGGTCAAAGACCTGCTGATAATGATGCGCGTCCCAGCTATGATAGCAGACAACGATCCCTATTCGGATCATTGTTAACTGATACATCTCTTGAATGGTTCAATGATAATGTAACCAATGCTACCACATGGGCACAACTCAAGGATCTCTTCCTAAACAGATTCACTGACGGACGAGATCAATTCAAACATAGAATTGATGCTGAAAATGCAGCTCGCCAAGATGGCGAATTAATAAAAAATTACTTCCACAGAATTAAATTTTCTGTAGATAGAGGATGGCCCGAAAGTATTGATGTAACATTCCACGCTGATGAAGCTGCTCAAAATGCTGAAAGGAATGTACAGACCAGACAAAGGAATCAAAAGTATATTGATTTCTCAGTTAAGGGACTAAGACCTCTAGCCCTTAAGCAAAAAGCTCATGAATACATGATAGAGCATCCAAACTCGATTGGGATCAATTCACAAATCATGTAATCACTAAGGATCTAACATTCATTGTTGCTACTGATCCTGCTAATAAGCCAACAACGGATAAAACTACTTCATTAGAATCTCAAATTAAAGAACTAACAAAATTGATCAAGAATCAAGAAGTTAGTGCAATCAATGATCAGAATTAATTTCAACGACGTCACCCTGACATCAAGGGAAGACCTAACAGTAACCGATTTTGCGAATATTGCAGAATGAATGGACATTCTATAGCTAGATGCTCAAAAAAGCAAGTTCAGGACGAAGTAAATAAGTTGCGAAAAGAGCTCACAACAAAAAATGAACGAAGAGTTTCATTTGAAACCGATTATAAACGAAATCGAAGACCGAATAACTTCCCTAACCAGAGTAACCCTAACCCAAGCAACCGGTTTTGGGACAACCAAAACAGAGCTACAAACAATTCAAATCCTAGCCAAAACAATTATGGCATTCGCCATAATTATAACCACAACGGAAACAATTTCCAAAAGGCTAATGCACAATCGTCTTTCAAAAGGCCCCAAACATATGATGATAGGTATCCCAGAGAAAACAAATTCAGAGAAAATGAACAAGTTGCTAAACAGTTCTACGACCAAGAAAATAGGCAATTCAATAGTAACTCTAGAGGTCGACCATATAACACTGGAAGCTATAATAGCAATAACAGTCGAGACTCAACGCAATCTCAATCACCAAATTTTAGATCGAAACAAATACAGTCTGAAACTAACCACTGGGTTGAGGAAAAAGTCAACTACAGTGATGCGATCACTGATTTCTTTCCTTTAAACTATTAAAGTCTCCAAAACCAAGCGATGATAGTAATCCTAAAGCAATGATATATCTTAGCTCATATCATTTTGAGATCGGAGACAAAAATTAAAACAATGGACTTGAAATTGAATTCATGGTTGACCCAGGATCAACTTGTAGTATCATAAACTACCCAACGTATCAGGAATTGGAAAAATTAGGTCCAAAAATGACAATATACCGATCCAAAATTAAAGCAAAGACTTATAATGGATCTGATATACGTATGTTTGGCCATACATTTATTCAATCTTGTTTCGACACTGATGGAAAGTATCCATCTAACCACAAAGTGTGGATAACTGAAGAAAAGAGTGCTAATCTATTAGGAGTAGACTTTTGTCATCTCTTCTTAAAAGCTCTCTACTTTGATATCCTCGCAGTTAAGCTAAAATCAAAAGAAGGTGTAATATCCTACGGGTTGATGAACAATGATAAAGAATATCCTAATGTTTCAAAAATTGTCTCAATTAACTTGAAAGAACCCTTGTTCCTCCCAGCACGCTCTACATGCTTATACAAACACTTGGCTGAACCAAACTCATACTTCGAAAAAGGAACTACATTCCTGCCTCATAAAAATACAAAAAAAAACCGAATTGGTTTTCATAAATACAGTTTGTACTCAAATTGAACATAGCCTACCTATCCTAATTGAGAATCAGAAAGATCATCCTGTCACACTAAACAAGTGTGTACTAGGTTATGCAGTAACTGATATTCAAGGATACGAGGATAAAATATTTGCTATCTACGATTGTGATGAGTTCACAACGAGAATTTTAAACGAAATTTCGGAATTCGATAGCTGTTTCATGCTGAACAATGTTGTCAATACTACACAAGAAAGCAACAACCAATTATCCGGCCCCTGTCTACAATATGTAGACTTCAAAAAAAGGTCCATATTCGAATCGAATATGCCCATTGCGCATACCATTTCTGCTAATAGAGCAAAGAAAAAAGGGTTTGCTGAATCATTTGGCAAAAGCTATCCTGAGTTGCGACACTTTTGGGACTCAATACATGCTAACATTAATGATATTCTCATCTTCACTGATCCAAAATCTGGACAACTCATATATAACCTCATTACCAAACAGAGATACTTTCAGAAACCCACTTACGACGCTATATTTAATACCTTGTCCGAAATGAAAGATCATGCTATAGCAAATACTATTCGATCTATCGCAAAGCCTAAAATTGCTTGTGGCTTAGATAAAATAAATTGGGAAGAAGTGTCCAAAATCATTGTCGATGTATTCCAACATTCTGCAATTACTATATTTGTCTATGTTTCAGGACAGGAAATCAAAGACATGCCTGCCCTTGAAGTGTTTGATACAGAAAATGTATCAGAAATATTTGAACAAATTGGTTCAGATATAGTCAAAGTATGCAAAAATGAAAACGAAATAGCAACCGACTTTTCTAATGATGCAAATAACCTTTGCAGGCCTCCCCTGAAAGAACAATTTAAAAAGTACCGAAACAAAGAACAAAATGACAGGCTAATTGCCTTTCTAGTCACCAATACTCCTCAATTGATAAAGACAATAGTAGTACTTTGGAAAAAATCGAAACTACTATTAAATTCTTATCTGACTTCGATTTCACCCAAAGTGATATATCGGATGATGAGTTTGCAGATCTAATTCAAATGTTGATAGAGGACCAAGATGTCTATTCTCATCACAAATATAAATTCCATATTCCACTCAAAAAGGACGCAACGTTCAAAAAGCAACGACCTAGTAAAATAATAGTCCATCTCAGAGATAAATTGGACAAATTAATGGATGAACTAATCCAAGCAGGCATAGTCAGAGAACTAAATGAAAAAGATGATATGAACTCATGGTTCGTAAACCCAGTCATCATTCTTCCGAAAAAAGACTACGTTAGGTTGGTCTTGGATGCTAG